TATATACTGTATGACTTAACTTTGGGAGTAATGATGCCCACCAGGAAGGTATAATGTACTCTATAAAGTCACCGGCTGACTACAGAATTGTTAGAAGAGTACCTCAAAGATGTTACCATCTATAACTTTCTACATCTGTTTAAAAAACAGTAATATTTTGACAGTGAAACATTTATGCTTGGAAGTGAAAACCTCCTTTTAATGGATTTTACTGTTGCTGTACAAGTGGAGCTAGTTCCACTAGTTCAAGAAAAAAAAAGACAAAACCGCCACCACCACTGCTGTCAAGAAAGTAAGCACAAGTACATCTCTGCATGAAGAGATCTGTAACGTGCATCTTCTCTAACAGAAAGGTCCTCGTAAGTGGGTAGTGACTATTTAAGAGAAAAAAAAAAAGGGAAAATAAACACATATTAGCAGAAAGGATGCAGCCAAAATACTTAAGGTTTTATGTAACTCATTGCCAGATAACAAAACGTTTCTTAAAATGTACCAAAACCTGAAGCTTTTGCAGAGAAGAGTTGCCATAATATTCAGTACCTACAGAGGAATCGGAGGTATTTTTTTGTGTAGCTTTGGGTTGCGGTTTCATGTAGAACAGAACTGGAAAGCTGAGGATTCCTTCTCCAACTGAGTTAGATGTTATTGTTCACCTCTTTTTACAGGAACAGTGTCTTCAGTAGGAAGCAAATAATGGGCACAAGTAAAATTCAGGTTCCAGTCTTCCAAAGTTTAGTGGTTATCCAGGATTATCTGTCCAGCTCCTAGTACATCTTCATCTGAAAGCACTACATCTTGTACATGAAAATGCTCCATGTAATCTGCCCCGTTCTAAGAAATGGGGGTCATATTCGGCATCTAAAAGACTAATTCACCCTCTCTCACCTGCATGTAACGTTTCACTCCAGCCTCATCGAAAACATAGGAAAACATGACACCCTGTAAAACAGGAGGCTTTAAGCACTGTTCAGATGTGCCGCTTGGTGGCATTTCTCCTGCCAGCGTGCGTGCAGATTTCTGTAGACGTTTTGCTCTGCAAAAGGAGAATTTGATATTGCAACAAACGAAACATGAAAAATGAGCTCTGTCTGGTTCCATGTGGTATATACTGGTCTTCACGAGACCTGGCATCAAGCATAGTCTGTTCCATTAGCTAAAATGGCATTCCGGATTGCAATCCTATATGGTGAGAAACTCAAAACCTACCAACAAGTTACTGACCTTCATCAACAGTGTGTCATTGTAAATTATGCAATGATACAGTTTTAATTTGTCTGATGTGCCAGCTGCACAGTATATTGCTGGAAATAGGGAATACACCACTGTTTGACCACCCCACAGTTGATAAAAAGGAGCAATATTGGCCGGCTTCTCTCAGTTCCCTTGTGAGGAAGGAATTTTCTTTTTGATTTTTCATTATGCTAAGAAGTGATGACTTTCTGCTGCTACAGCAACAGCTGATGTTAAAGTTCAGCAGAGATGCTTTGCTTTATTCCTGCAGCAAGAGTAGTGGCTCTGAATAGCAGGGGTGTGTGGCTGTTTTGTTCTGGGTTTGTTTCTTCTAATTTTTTATTTTGAGGTGAAGTCCCAAGCAAGCGTAACTGCTAGTGAGCAGGTCATCTCGAATACAAATAATGTAATAATCCCTGTATTATCAAGGAGCATGTGTTCTGTACTTTAGGTTTTTCTAGAAAATAGAGTTAATTCAGTTTTGGTTTTTTAGCTTTTTTAACTTTAGCTTTTCTATTTAGAAAATATAATTAATTCGTGGTTTTGGTTGGGTTTTTTTTTTTTTGGTAGAAGCTCTTCAAATTAGCTCTCATTTCTCCAACCTAATAATAGGTTTTAACAGTTTTACCTGTTAAAATTGGGACTTCATCCTTCTCATATGTAATCCTATTTAGGGTCAGAGTTGGAAACTAATGCCTGACACTGTTTTAGAAACAAAAAATCCAGTCATCAACAGGACATGGACTTCATTTTCTAACTTGATCCAGCCCTGAAATACTAAATCCAAGAACAGTCAGTGGTCCAACACTGAGAGTAGCCTGTATCACTTATGAACCAGGCAGAAGCAGGGATTACGTTTGGAGGAAAAAGATAGCATTTTTGTGGTAAGCTGGGCTTTTTTTTATTAAAGGAGGTAGTTGTTTTGAAGCTGCTTAGAGGTTAGGAATGCTGGCAATCATCTGGAGAGACAGATTAGTGGGCTAAGCACAGGTGAGGAGGTCACAGGCACAAAACAACTATTTTTGTGCTATTGCCTTTGTGGTGGTTCAGCCAAAGGAAGCTGCTTCAGAAATGACCTACGTGTGTCAGGAGGACCATCGTACTTCTCCTGTGACATTACTACCTGATCATCACGAACTCGCATGTTGTGAGAATTAACTCTCTGCGTGGTTGTTAATTGAAGGGGAAGAAAACTGTGTTGTCAACAAATCTTTGTAGGTGAATTATTTGGTAAAGCTTTTGCAAGTCTGCCCTAAAGTAATTCAGTATTAATACACTAACATAGAGAGAGAAAGAGAACAGCACCTGGATGCTTTCAGGGAATAGATGGATAACTAGGGCATTGTCGTGTTTCATTTTACCTGCAGTGCAATAAACTGCACTCGCCAACCTAATTTTCTAAGTCTATAAGGGATGCAGCTTTTGAATTTGGTTTGCCAGTACTGCAAAAGACAGTCATAAACACATGAACCTACACGCAATTTTAATTGCCATCTTAACCTTTATCCCAAAATTTGAGTTTATCTTGCACTTTAAGGTACAGTGCTACTATTCTACGATTTCAAATGAGGAAGAATTTTGTTTCTCAATCTGAATTCTCAAGTTGTTTTCATAGGGCTGTCACAGAAATTTACTAGTGAATTGTGAGGGTGAGCAGGGCACAGTGTTTGAGACTGGTGATGAAAGACATCTCTCGTGGACCCATACTTTACAAGGAAAGAATATTTGTTGCCACCATTCAAAATCATTTATCAAAACTTAAAGTCTAAGTGAATGTGGATGATGGTGATCTATTGATGAAAGAAAAGCAGTAATACTTGGCTTTGGCTGCTGCAGGTGGCTCATGCATTCAAAAGAGTAGATGCTGCACTGACTCTGCTCACCAGGTGGACTTGAGAAGGTACCATCTCCACGCAGTCACTGTCTTGGCTGTCTATATGCTTCCAGGAACCAATTGGGAGCTTCTCGTGTTTGGGTGGTTTTAAGGACTTCCAGTTCTGCGCCTCACCAGTCTAAATAATAAAGTAGGGCATGTGCAGTTGGTATGGCTCTGAACCACCTGGGAGGAGAGACAAGAGGCAACTGTGAAGTTAAACACAACAGATTTGTCCAAGGAGTATCTTTATTTCACAGAAGCTTTTCCTTCAGGATGACTTTCCAGATGCCTTGTGATGTCCACAGTGTTAGTGTAGCCAGTGTAAATAAGTTATAGGAGAATGCAGAAATAGTCTTTCTGAAGTCTTCAAACAATTTTTTCCAGCTCAAAGGACTATGCAGGATCACAGAATAATTTAGGCTGGGAGGGACCTCTGGAGGCCAGCTAATCCAACACCCTGCTCCAGGCAGGCTCAGTCAGATCAGGTTGCCACTTAGCACTTTTTTTTCCAGCGTCCTTTGAGTTTGTAACTTAATGTCACTTAATTGAAGTCTGCCAATAATACACCTTGAAAGCTGACTTGAAAATGAGACCTTGCAAGAAATAAAAATGTAATTATAAGCTTATTTTTACTAACACTTTTTTTTTCAACCTTTGTCAGGTGGAAGTATTGTCTTACTTTCTCAAACATAACTATGCAGGGTTAATTTGTCAGAGAGAAAATTTTCTTAGTTGCAGTTCTAGAATTGTACTTTTGCATTTTACTGCTTGTCTTCAACAGTAGAATAAACTTAAAGTCTGTTAGTTTATCTGAAAAGTGATAGCATGCTTAAACTGACGGTGAAATAATTTTGCAGCTAGTACACACTTCGTGTTTAAAACATGCACGGTATTTTTAATGTGAAATGCAATGATGCATTTTGTACAGTAACAACTTCATGACGAAGTATTTTTTACACAAAGCGCAATATGAGCTGCTTATGTGAAGAAACTTGTCATATTACTTGGTTGATTTAAAACTGATCACTTTGCATAGGCCCTTGATATACCAGAAATATTTAAACAATTCCTTAAACTGTGGACCCTACACAGGCTGCTTTCTTATGGATCTTCCTCCCAGGGGCAGGAGTGCGTGTGTGAGTCTGTGTCTGCTCTGTGATCCCTAGCATATGGACTAGGCAGCAGAGCAGTTTCTTTCTCCCTGCTTCTCTTTCTACCGGGCCACTTGCTTACACAGAACCTTTCTGGTACTTGGTGCTTTTAGCACTTTCTATTGCTGTCAAATCCAGCTAAAATGAAGTGAAATATTCCAGAGAGAGAAGTGCTGTACTGAGAGATGCATATTAATGTAAATTCCTTACTAAAAAAGGCTAGGCTAAAAACTAACTCCATATCCAACTCCTCTCTCACACCCTGCTTTCATGCTTGTACAGAAGGTCTGCTATCAGTTAAGGCTGTGTATTGGATATTAAAATACTCCCTGATTCTGACTTTCGGGTTAGGAATGCGTATATGCTCCTTGCCCACTTGAGATGTATGTGTAAAATTATAGTCCAGCTCTGAAAATACAGTCTCACATCTAAGATGGTGTATCAGGCCTGCAGCTGCAAGTAATTGCATTCTGCAGAGCTGATAACAAGAGTTGAGAATCAGAAGTCTTTTTCCCTCAAAATATAAAAGAAATATGGGTAGTCATTGAAAACAACTCATTTATTCTGAATGAGTTGCTGATGGACATAAAATGAAACAACAGATAGAGTAAGCGGAAGAATTCGTTTGATTTCTTCCATATTATTAGGAGTGTGGCTTCACTGAACCAGATTTAAGAGGAAAGGGCCCTCTAGACTTAATTATTCTCTTTTTGATTGATACACTGGTACTGTTTCTCTTTCAGATGAAGTGGACTACAGTAATTTTGGGACCAACACACTATCAAGGAAGAAGAAGGCTCTGGTGACACTCCGCAATGACAACCTCCGCCGGCGTCCCCACATTAACATTAGCATGCCTCACGATTTTAGACCAGTGTCTTCCATAATCGATGTGGACATTCTTCCTGAAACACACAGGAGAGTGAGGCTGTATCGACATGGGTGTGAGAAACCCTTAGGATTTTACATCCGCGATGGCACCAGTGTAAGAGTTACTCCTCATGGACTAGAGAAAGTACCCGGTATCTTCATCTCTCGTATGGTTCCTGGAGGCCTAGCAGAGAGCACCGGCTTGCTGGCTGTGAACGATGAAGTCCTGGAAGTTAACGGCATTGAAGTAGCAGGAAAGACTCTTGACCAAGTCACAGACATGATGATTGCCAACAGCCATAATCTTATTATCACGGTCAAGCCAGCAAACCAGAGGAACAATATCATTCGAAGCAGTAGGATGTCTGGTAGCTCTGGCCAGTCTACAGACAGCACTGCTAGTCACCATAGCTTGCCTACATCCCACGTGCTGCAGAACTTCCACCCTGATGAAATGGAGAGTGACGAAGAGGCTGACATTGTCATCGAGGGCGGTCTGGAGCCTCAGCACATTCCTAAACTGCACAGCCTTACTTCCAATAGCCTCTCTCGAATCAATGGCAGCAGCCTTAGCCACAGACTTCCAAGGGACCTGGTGCTCAACAACAACTCTGGCCGAGAAAGCAACGGCAACATCCACAAATTACTCAGTTCCTTAAAAACTGATCCCCGACACAGTCTGGTGATCCCCAGAGGAGGTATCGAGGAGGACGGAACAGTCATTACACTTTAGTAGCAATTCCTGCAACTCCCCTTTCAGTCTTAAGTGCCAATTGGGACAATTGACTCTTGCAATGTGTTATGCACAAAACAAAGAGCTGATATTCTCATAGACCTCACGGGTGCAGAAAATTGTTGCTTTCTAGGAAACGTGGCATCTGGAGTTAGACATAAAACTGTCCTGCAGTGCAAAATTTGTCAGGAGAAAGCCAGAGTGTAATACCTGGTTTATGTCCCAACCCTAAAGTGAGAACACAAATTTGGTTTAGTTGGTATAAATCTAAGTGGCCTTACAGGCTACCAATCGCAGTGCCACATACTTGGGTTTGAATGCATGGGTGGATGTATTTATACATGCATGTATATGAATTAGATTTTAATAGTAACAGACATGCCTATTTGAAGTGGAATCTGTTTTTTTTCTAATACCAATTTAAAGAGAGTGCTTCTTAATAGCCATCCGATCTTCTACCACTACATACAGACCTTCCACTAACTTGTTTACACCCTATTTGCGACCTTATGTCTAATCCAGACAAGCTCTATCAAAGTAGTGGTTTCCTGCTCTGGTGGTAACAATGTTAGGGAGATGCTGCAAATACATTTTCCAAATGAAACTATATATATGTGTGTGTATTTTTAAGAGCCTAAGGAGGCGAGGTTGGATGTTGCTGTTATTGCTGTGAGCTCAGCACCACCTGCAGGCCAGAGCCCGGTGGCTGCGCGGGGCAAGAAAAACATGAGGATAAGGGCTTAAAACTAGGTTCAGCACCACGACGTGTAAATGTATTCTTTTTCGGTATTTATTAGATAATACTTCTCTTTCAGATTGTTCCCCCTCCCCCCTTTTTCTCTGTTTTTTAAGTATCATGGTTCATCTGAATTTTAGGGATGCAAGCGAGAAGGCAACAAAAGTGGAGGAGTGTGCTAGGAGTGTCCCCTTCACCTCAGAGCCCACACAGGTCCTTACTGTACCTTTGAGGCGACCTAAATCCACAAGGTCTTTCCTTACAAAAGATTGGATAATTGCTATACAGAGGAGGGATGCTGACTGACTGTCAAACCTAACTTAGAATAGTTCTGTTATTTTTGGACTCTTCTGGTAATCATAAAGCTTAATGTCTACACAGGATTTCTAGAAACTTAAAATATACTGGATGTTTGCGATGGCCAGACAGGGATGCTGGCTAGTGGGTAAACAGCGACTGTTGAGTCGGTAACTGTCTGCTTCTGAAAATGTCATGAATTTATGAAAGTGGTCTAATCTAAAATATTTTGTTATATCTTGATCAGTGTAAGGAACAAAATATAAATGTTTTACAATGTATTTTTCTACTTTTAGCTTGTGTCATTTTCTTTTTGTTTTTAACTTTGTAGTACATTAAAGCTTTTTTATATGGTGGAATAGACATTTCTTAAATATTGTATGGATATGAAAATTCAGAAGTCTTGGTTTGAAAAAATTACATTCCATTTTGGAACCTGTAGTGGCTGGACAAATGATGTGCGGACTAATTCACTGTCGCTCATTTAGAATACCTGTGGAACAACCAGTCTTCTGCTCATTGTTAAATATGTTTGGGACATTGAACTTAGTATGTTTATTTTTAGATTTGCTTTAAAAGTTTATTTTGAAATTCTTTCACTTACTCTAATTAAACCTCTTCTAGGTATCACAGCAGTTATAGAACTATACTTATTTTTCCCACCACAGTAAGAACAGAACATTGATCCTATTTGTCTTAAAACTGTATTTGTACTTTACCAAAGGTTTTAATTTTTTAAAAAATCTGATTATTGGTGCAGTAAAAAAAGTGAAGAGCTGGATGTACTTCAGTCAATCAGATCATCTTATCAGGAAAATTGTTACACCTTTGTCTGGCTGAAGTTACTCGTTTTACCTTATTTAACTGATGAAGATGTGACCTGTCTGCAATAAAATGTGCACTGTCTTACTTCTAGGCTATATCCTTTCCCCTGTGCTCAAGCACATCTTTCTGTAGAAGGATCTCCCTTCCCATGGTGTCATGGTTTGATGTGGGGGGGGTGGTTCTGGTGGCACAGACACCTGGTTTTGATGTCTCTTTGAATACGTAACCATTTTAGTAACGCCTTTCTCTCTACCTGTACAGACTTTGATTCCTCCAGTTGTTGTTACTGATGCCAAGTTTCTTTCCATAGTGTTTTTTCCCGATTCTGCTTTTACTAAAGGGTACTGTTAACACTGATTCCCATGAGAACCAAGTAGTTTGTCTCACTCCTGATAGCCCAGCTTGCTTCAAACCTCATGGCTTTGAGGACATGAAGTAGTTCTGGCTGCTCAGGAGAAGCCACGATGCCTCTGGTTCAGTGGCACACTGCTGCACTGCACACCTTTGCCTGGAGGATGCTCCGTGACTGCCCAAGTAAAGCGGGGCAGTGCAAAATACCTGAACTCCTTCAGCTGGTAGGAAGTGGGAAATGTAAGTTGCATCTCGCACATCAGCATGGAAGCATCGCGCGCAGGATTGCAGTTATAAGCCGAGAGCAGCTCCAAAGCTGATACTTGATTGTTTTGCCACCATTTTGTCATGTAACTTTTAAGGCTTGCAAACGTTTTGGGCTCATGTGCAGCAGCTAGGA